AATTCCCACTTGGGTGGATCATCTGGTTTCCTATTGTTCTCCATTCACGTTTCATGAAGTGCCATATCATGGGATGAAAAACCGATGCCTTGGCTCCAGAAAACGAGGAAGCCCGGAGAAAAGCAAAGCCAGGCAGCAAGATGGGCGCCGAAACTTCGATACCCGTTTACAGTCATCTTTGAGGGGGTTGTAATCTCTTCTTCGGCTCCATCACTGAACCGCAACGTCCTAGCATCGGACAGCAGGACCTCCGATTACGCCCAGCAACGCAAAACCAGCAAACAATTTGTAATGAAGGAAGTACTCACGCTTTGGTGGAACGATGGCTGGTAGGATCTTGGCGAACAGCCTCTTCTTTCTCATCATCGTCACTGTTCCTTCGTGAGTCAGGCACAGAGTGTGTCGGCAGCTGGTCATCAAAGGCTAACCGCATTGACAGCATCCCGGATGGCGGAGATGTGAGCAAAGAGCGGGTTCCACGGTTGACAAGACCGGTCGAGTGCCGGTTAGGGCGGGAAAACATGGAGGGAAAGCCTCTCGAGGGATCGCGGTACTCGGGGGGTGTGGTCGGCTCAGACTGATGGCCGGCGAATCTGCCTATCTGCAAATCCTCTGCCATCTGCGCAAGTTCACGCTCTTCCTGACGCTGCTGAGCATCCAGTTTCGAGAGCTCTGCTTCGAATCGGCGCTTGCTCTCTCGGATTCGTTCGTATTCCTGTCTCTTCTTCTCCAACTATTGTTATGACACCCACATGGGCCTGAGGTTAGCGGGCACCTTGGGCCGTGGTTGCGAACATGTTGCGACGTACCAGCTGAACCTTGTGGAGAGTCTACCGAGCATGATCAGCATGATCTTCCATATCCAACAAGCATGTCAAGTCACCGTCCCGGTCTGCACCAAGAGCAGAGCAGAGGAGGCCAAGACTGGAAGAACGTACCGCAGCAGGGGTGGCAGCAAATTCGGTGGGCTCGGGCGGGCGCTGGGAACCAGGTATAAAGGATGAAAGTGTTGGTACATGGCCCGACTCTGCGGTGAATCGGCGCGGTAGGGAGGGGCCGGCCCTGTTGACGAAGGAGGGCGCCATTTGCGATTCACCTCGCTGGGGCTGGGGGCGGTAGAACTCGTCCATGATTATATCTCGGCTTCACACTTGCTAATCGATACACGTTTGTTGTACAGGGCGATAAGGCTGGTCGGCGGTTGCTTCCTCTATAATCTATTGCTATAGACTCATGTTAGTCTACAGCCGGTTCAAGCGAGTACTAAAGGCGACGGCCATCGTGAGAAGCAACGCATGAGGGCGACAGCATGTCAGGTACGGCCACATAAATGCATTTGTGATGGTGAATGGCCAAACCCTCGGCGAGTCGCGGGTATGTGGTTCTTCCGGGTTCGGCCGTGCTCAAGTATCGAGTTCTGCAAAGCCCCTCGGCGATGCTGACAGCTGGTGCGATAGTCATCCCAAGATGTGGGCAGACACAGACCGCGCTTGTAGTCAAGGTGTGGCCTCGAGACTTGAGCACTCCGAGTACCTCCATGGCGCCAATCCCGAGACTGTCTTGACTTTTGAAATGGGCCAGCGATAGCTGAGGATGAGGTCGTGGCTCTCCAAAACTCAAGTGTCCGAAGTCGCGCAGGCCGAAAGAGGGGATGGAGGGCATGTCGAGTGGCCCGGAACGTGAGGTATGCGATGGGCGGGATGCGATTGAAGGAACGACGTCAAGGTCACCTACCTAGTCGTAGAGGTACCAAGAGAAACAAAGTGTCTCGTCGGCGCACGTAAAGTAGGTATACTCTATACGCTGCGCCCCGGAAAGCCAGGAGCAGCAAATGGGGGAGCAATAGTAATACAGCAAAAAAAAAGAGTGAAGAGAGTGAGATGGGATGGAAGGTAGTAAGCCTGACGACGGGTTGCTATGGTAGGTAGAAGGAGAAGAGGTAGGAACCTAGGTAAGAGAGTGACGGTCACGGTCGGTTGGTGGCACCGTGGTGATGGGGATGGATGCGCGAAGAGAGACGATGCCACCCGCTCCTCTTTTCGCACTGGAACCTCAGACCTCAGAGCCCCCAGCCCAGCCTGCCGCTGCCGCTGCCGCTGGAGCTGCCGCTGTGGATGCCCTCAACCATCAACTCGGGGTACGTACTACGTACCTCTACATGAAGCATGCGACATGCTGGGTCCGAGAAACCCCTGACAGACACAGGCTAGAGGGTGGGACGTGCCTCATTCAGCAGTGGGTGAATGACAGAAGCCCAATCATTGGATAAGGTACTTAAGCTGCCCAAGGGCGACTGCGCTAAAAAGTCCCCGCTTTGCACCCTTTGGAGGAAGTACTGATACTTGTACCAAGTTGGATGGAAGCTCTCCTCATCGATGCCATCGATGCTGTCCTCTTTCCTTTCTTTTCCCCTTTGCCTTCTTTGGAAGTTGAAACCAGACTCCGAATGACTGCAAACACGGCTGGTTGGCGTGACATTGTGGAATCTGGCCACCTTGGTCAGTCCAAGGGAACTAACTCTATAGCAGTAGCTCAACTCAACGCTCTCTCTCGGACGAGTAAGCGGTGTCTTTTGGTGTTCTCCTGGTTGCTCCTCGCCGAGGATATGAATTCGGGCGCTGAGAGTCTTGAGGCATGTTTCCAAGCTGATAATTCTCCGCAGATTCAAAAATAGTCAATGGCCTTTTGAACACATCGCATAGCTGTCTACGTACATGCATTGGCGCCCGCAACAAGACAAGGCGTTTCTCAATGAGAACTGAACTTTGAGGACGATGGTCGAGGCAACTCGGTTCCAAGCATACAGTACCTATACCTCATGGCCCAGGGGAAAACTGGCGCATGAACGACACCACCCTGTGGGCCTGCCTGATCCTCAAGACATGATGATGACGCCTTACGAGGAACATCTTCGACTTCCTATGGAGCATCAGAGACGGTATGGCCCTGAGGAATTAGCGGTGTATAGGTGGTCGCCGTTATACGGCCCTGCAGAGAGGCAATCCAGGAAGAGGCTGCCCCAGGTTTCTCTCACCTGCGCCCTTGCGTCCAGTCTGCAGCTGCTAGTGGTCGATAGATTCTGAAAAAATGACATTTTTTCGGAAATTTTCAATTTTCTGAAATTTCTGAAATTTCTGGGCCCGTGCACGAGTCTGTGCGCCCACCTCAAACTTTTCAATACAATACCCTCATCTTTACACCTTATAATATATTAACAAGCTTCCTGGCATCCACATCTCCCTATCTATTACCACTTTATTTATAACGATACCCTTAATACGAAACCCTCGTAATAAATTCACGATCTAGTAATTTATCGTTGAAGATATAGAAGGACGAGCGACCCAGTAGATTACTTACCGTTATTATAATTATCGTAATACTTTCAACGTTATCCATATATAAGAATACTTCGAAAGATATACGGGGTAGTAGATTGCCTGCGTTAATTAATAATTACGCGACCGCGATAATATTAAGTAATATACCGTTGCCTTAAATAGCGCTTAGAAAGTAAAGAGCAATTAGTATATTATTGAAATTATCCTCTTCGATAATAGAGCTTTTAACCTATTCGAATCGTTATTTATAAGAGCCTTCTTTTACTCTCTTATCCCCGCCTACTCCCCTCCTAATATAGTTAAATTGGTTGAGTATTAACTCCCCTTCATTTATTAAGAAATAAAATAATAGATTTTCGAGAAATATATTAACGAATACCTATATATTAACGTTTTTTTCGATAAGTCGGATAATTACGTTAGTAAGCGGATTATTAATATCTCCTTCTCCCTTTTAGAGGGATATATTTAGTTTTAATATAATAAAGATATTAATATAATAAAATATATTTTAATTAATTTCGTTAATATTATTTTTAAAGTTTATAATTAAATAGTTAATTAATTAATAAAAATTAATACTTTTAGTACCAATATATATAACGCTACCCGGCGCGCTACCTAAGAATTACTCTCTAATCGATTTTATTCTTTATTTAACGTATTGTACGATTCCTATTCCTTTTAATTATTAATAAAAGATTTAACTAATTTACCGCCGTTTAAAATATTTAATTAATAAATTAATATAATTATTAATTATTTCCGGGCTTCTAAATTATAACTATTATAATTACGCGCATTAATACTTTTATATTATAATAAAATAATTATCTTATTGGCTAAGTAAGTTATATTTATTTTATTAATATTCCTTTTATATAATTTACTTACTAAATTAGTATAATTATTAAATAGGGGTTATAGTACCGATTTATATTCTCCTTTAAATGTATATAGCTTGTATTTATTACTTTCGCGAAAGACGTACGCTTTTATAATTAGTATAATGAAATCCCTTAAGCTATTATCGCCGCCGCCGTTAATAATAATAATAAAGCCGCCGCCCTTATTCGAATATTATAAATGATGGAAATTATTGAAAACGTATAGTTTTAGTATATTTTCGACGTATTGGAACGCTTTTTAATATTATTCTACGAAGCTTAATTAATATTAAAAGTAAATAGGGTATTTATTAGTTATATTATCCCCCGTTGGATTTATATTTAATTGGAGTAGTAACGTTTACGTTATTCTTTCGTTGTAGCGGATTGGTAGGAATTCGAAAGGTTATACGTTTCTGTAAGAGCAGCGCTCGAAACCACTCCGCCAATAGACCAAAAGATCTAGCAGTTCCGAACCTTATTGGCTTCGGAACCTCGAGCGTCACGCTTATTTACCCCGTTAACCTATAACCTTACAACTATCCCCCCTCCCAGGGAAATTCGTCCTCGAATTCTTAAAGGATAGCTAAGCCATTTTATAGCGGATTAAGCGCCTAAACCCCCAAAGTTATATAACGGACCAAGGTGGACCAAGCCTTATTCGGTTCCAGCGGCCGCCGCCGCCACTGTGTTATACACCTTGTGACCGCCAACGAAGGTTTTCCGAGCGGGAATCTTCGAGCCCAAGCCCTCGCGGACACTTTTTCGAAAGTGCCCCGAGCGGGAATCGAACCCACGACCTCGCGAACAACCAGTGCAGCCAATAAGGTTCGGAACAATTGTAAGAGCAGCGCTCGAAACCACTCCGCCAATAGACCAAAAGATCTAGCAGTTCCGAACCTTATTGGCTTCGGAACCTCGAGCGTCACGCTTATTTACCCCGTTAACCTATAACCTTACAGTTTCAAAGCGCTTAAAGTAATTTATTCCTATTAATTAATTAGGGTTCCTTTTATATTTAATTATTATTTAATGGAAATTCGAATTTATTTAATTCTTAGTATAGAATATTAATAGTATTACTTTTACTTATTTACGCTAATACGTTTTTATTTTATATAACGTTATAAAGGAGTAGGTTATTGGGGATTTTTTTATATTTAGAAAATAGGAAGGTAAGTATAGCCTAGATAGTAGTATTTATTAATATTAGAATTTAGACTCCAAATTGTGATGGATTATGGTATAAAATAACGGCTCCCTTATTATACCGCTAGCCGTTCGAATTTTTAGTTCGTTAATTAATAGCGTACTTTATAAAAGGGTATTCTTAATTATAAATTATTTCGAGAGCCCCCGCCGTAACCGATTAACCGTTAATAAAATAAATATGGCGATATTTATTTATATAAATAATAGGAGGTTTAAAAACCTTTATAAATCCTTTGCAGGCCTATCCCTTATAGAAAGAGACGAACTTTTATTGGAGATTAAGAACCAATTATATAATTATTATTATAAGGACAGTCAATACAAGGGTAGGTGGTAGATATAGATATGTATAATTGCATAGAGGAAGAAAGAGGAAAAGGAAAAAAGTGTGCGTAGGAGGCTCGCCCTTTATAGGGCGCGACGGGAACGCGCTAGTTACGCGCGGTTAGGTGACCTTAACCGTGTAGGCGGTGAGTAGTGACGTAATATCCTGTACGGGCGGGATTATCCCGAATATAATAATATATTTTAGGAAGCGATTATTATATAAGTATAAGTACGTAATAGTAATATACTAATTACGTATAATTATAGTTAGGTTTATAATATTACTTCCCTTTAAAAGAAATTATATAATTAATTATTATTATATAAAATAATTAAAATCTTTATTAATAAAATTTTTATAATTATTATTTTTAAATATAATAACCTCTTCTTCTTATTATACTCCTCCTATTATATTTTTATTTCTATTTCCGGGGCTTCTTCCGGCGTTGTAACTGTATTTTCTTATATTCTTTTTGTTTCCCGAATTTCTTATACTTTTCGTTTCCTCCGCTTCCTTTCTTCTTTGAATTATTATAGTAGTATTAGGGTATTTAAATTTTCTTCGTAGAATTGGCGTATATATTTTAAATATATTGAGACGTTATTCTTTAATTATTAATCGGGGGCGTGAGGGGGTGTTTATATAACGTAGTATTTTTAGAAACGGCCTTCCTTCTTATAATTATTAATTTTAATAAATTTTTATTTAATTTATTTTTTATTATTATTGGTACGTTTTAAAGTCCGACCGTAGTTCGTTCGTATATTTTTATTTAATTGTAATTATTTTAATAACCCATTATTTAATTAACGTTTAATTTTATTAACGTAAAAGGTAAGGCTATATTTTATATTATTAGGGAGTTCGAGTATAATAATATAAGTATTAATATTAGTAATTATAAAAGGTTTTTTAAAAAGTAGTATTAATTTAATATAGGGGCGGCTAGAATCGAAATTAATAGTATTGAATAAAATTTAATTTCCCGGTTTATATATTAGGGCGTCCGATTATTGAATATTAATATTATTTTTATAACGTTATTAAGCTTTTTAAGCGTTCGTTATAATATAATCGAATATTTTTTTAAAATAATTAATAATTTTATAGGCTTTGAAATACTCTTTTTATTATATTACCGAAATTTTAGAGGGATAAAATATTATTAATTCGACGCCTATATAGGGGTTAAAATTATAATTAATAAAAAAGGGGGAGATATTAATTATTTTGGAAATTTAGTTATTATTAGCGAATTTTGCAAATAGTAATTAATCGATTTAATTATCCTATATTTAAATAATATATATCCTTAAATATTATTTTATTTTTATATTAATACGTTCGGTTTGACCGTTCGTTATTAAATAAAAAGTAGAGGATAATTTTAATATAATTTTTAATTATATTAATAAGGCGCGTTAGAATATCGAAATAAATTAGGTATTGTAATTGGAAATAATAGAATTAAGGAGACTATATAAATTATATATTTATTTAATAAAACATTCGGCTAATTCTTTAATAGTAAAAATTTTATAAGAAATATAATAACGTATTTTAATAAAATAATTAATTACTATAATAATATATTTGAATTTTTAACCGCGGTATAAATACGGGGTAAGAAGGGTAATATAATTAATAGAAATTTCCTTTTAAGCGGTAAAAAGGATATTTAATAATTTTAATAATTTATAAAGGGAGTAATATAATAGTTTAATTTTAGCGTATTAAAAGTATATTTTATAATAAATACGAATTAATTAATATATTTTTAATTAAAAGTACGAACGAAATAATAAGTGGAAAGTTTTTTCGCGATTTAAATAATTAATAGGGGGGCGTTATAAATATAGTAGATTAATTAGAATTATAATTTTATATTTTTTAAATTAACGATAATAGTATTATAATAATAAATTCGTTTTTATACCGTTCGGTATTTTATAAATGCGGTCTTTATTATTTATTTTCGTATTTCTTTAAATTAAATATAGCGTTTAGGGTTTTAAAAATAGGTTAGAAAGTTTGCGAAAAAGACGGATTTTTTATAAAATTCGGTAATAAAATTATTTACGGACTTTTTATTAAAGACTTCTAAATTATAAAGATAGTATATATTTATATTAATTTTGGAATTTATTTCCGTTTTTACGTTATTTAGTATTTAAACCCTATTAATAAATATATTTTAGTTGAGAAATATTTTATTACGGGCGAATAAACGTTCGTTTCCTTCGTAGGGAATATCCTTTAATTTACGGTTAAAGGCGTTAAATCGGATTTAGAGGGAATTTAGTTAATATTTAATTATAAAATTAAATTATAATAAAAATTAGGATTATTATATATATTAAAAAGAGAGTTATTTATTAACGGTAAACGTTTTTAAAATTTTATAATCCGTTAATATTTTAAAAGGTTATTACGCGCTTTCGAATTTTAATTTCTATTCCTCTAATACTTTAATAATAGCGAGTAGTTTTTTATTATAAATATTATAATTATTTTCGGCCGTTGTATATTATTAGTTAAAATAAATAATTGGGCGTAAAATACTTTTATTGTTATATTATAAGAAAATATTATTATATATTTAATTAGAAGCGTTAATTTCGATAATCATTTATTTAGATTAATTATAAATTTATAGAACGGGACCCGTAGTAAATACTTTTTTAAAGGTATTAAACGATTTTTAATATTATTCGGTTTATATTTATATTATTTTATTTATATCCTTCTTTATAAATTTGTATAATAATTCTACGATAATAGAGAAGTATTTAATAAATTATCGGTAAAAGTTTATAAAATTTAGGAAACGTTAAAAGGAGCGTTTAAAATTTGGGGCCTTTTAAGCGGTAATTATAATAATTTTTTCGGGGTTTATTTCGAAATTACCGGGAGTAATAATTAAATTTAGGTATTTTATACGGGTAATATGAAATTTATATTTATCGACGTCGAGTTAGAGGTTTATTTTAATTATATAGTTTAAAATTTCCGTAATATAACGGATATAATCTTTTTCGTTATTAGAATATATTAAAATATTGTTTAAGTAAGTAGTAATATAAACGTTTAAAATATTATAAAATATATTATTAATATAATTTTAGAACGTTTTTAATACGCCCTATAGACCGAATAGGTAGATTATTAATTTAAAAAGGCTAAAATGGGTAATAAATATTATAAATTATTTATATCCCTTTTTAACCCGAATATAATTAAATATAATAATAACGTTAAATTTAATAAAGATTTTTATTTTATAAATAATATCGAATATTTTTTGAATTAATAGTAATAGGTCGCGGGATTTTATAATAACGTTATTAATATTATAGTAATCGACGTAAATGCGGATTCCGTTACTAAGTTTCTTAATGAAGAGGATAGGGGCCGTAGTAGCGGATTAGGAAGGCTGGATAAATTTCTTTTAAAGATTAATATTAATTTATTTTTTAATTACGGCCACTTCGATAAATGTAATATATCGGGGCCTTATATTAAGCGGTTATTATTTTAATAATAATTCGATTTTATAATTATAGGCGCGATATAGTAGGATTTTTTTTATTAAACGGGGAAAGAAAACTTCGATATTCTTATAATATTTAATTAGGATTTTAACTTTAATTTCGTCGTCGGATTTAATAAATTTATCGCTCTTTTTTAAAAAGATTTTTATATCCTCTTTAATAATTTTAGTAATATAAATTTATTTAAGGATTTTTTTATATATAGGAATATCCCGGTTAAAATCTTTTATTAAATTTAATATTCTTATTAAAGCGGCGGCTTTTTTATCCTTATCGGAATTAGTATTACCGGTTATTATATCGACGAATAAATAGATAAACGGCGGTAAAAAGTATTTATACTATTCTCCCTTATTATTTATAATATTATTTATTATATCCTTTATAAATTTTTCGACGTTTATTAATTTTGAAATTATAAATAACCGTTTTAATACGGCGTAATTAGTAATTAAGGGCTTAAGATTCTATTTTTTGTATATATAATTAAATGTAATAGCGTTAAATTCTTTAATATCGGTTATATTAAATATATTATTAATACGTATAAAACGTTATAATTGCGTCGGGTATACCGTTTTAATAGAAATATAGTAGTTATTTAAGCGAATATATAGTTCGTAAATTATAGGGCTTTTAGTTTTAATGAAAAGGGCGGCCATATTAGAAATTCCCTATATTTTAATTTTAATTCGATTAGTAATTAGAGCCTTTATAGGGTTATTAATATAGTGCGGAGAATTATTATATTATTTAATTTTAAAGATCGGAAAAAGAATTAGGG